AAAAAATTAAATTTCCGATTATTGGGGCATTGAGATTTAAACAGAATTTTTACGACTACTTACAGACTAACACTACCTCCAAAACTATTCAGGGTTCATAATGTATTTCATGTGTCCATACTACGTAAGTACAACTCGGACTCCTCACACATCTTATCTCACAAGCTCCATTCACTTCATGAGTTTTTATCCTATGAGGAGGTACCTTCGTGCATTGTAGACCAAAAAAGTAGAGTACTCTGCAACAGAGAAATTTCATTCGTCAAGGTCTTATGATAGAATCACACACAGAAAGAGGTCACATAGGAGCTAGAATCGGACTTTAGAACCCAGTATCCCCAACTATTTGACTAAGTGAGAGGGTGACAAATTTAAAGGACTAAATTTCTTCTCAAGGAGAGGAGAGTTATAATACATGGATCTGAAATTTGAGCCGGGATCAATTTTGATATTTTAGAAATAAATAAAAAAAATTAATTTATAATTAATTTTATTTAGTTTTATTAAATTATTAAAAAAATAGGTAGGGATGTAATTGAAAGAAATTTTTAAAAAAAGGGTGATATTTTGAATTTGGTGGGTGTTTTTGAAAGAAAAATTTATAACAAGTGATCAAAGTGCAAATAAAAAAAATTCGGCCACGTAGGACCGTCGAGTCAGCAACCTCAACGAATCAGAGCACGCTGTGTGGCAAGGCACGCAAACATCGGTGCCACGCATGAGGTCACGCGGGCGATCCGTGTGTCCCGCGATCGGACGGTCCAGGATTGATCCCATGATCGGACGGTCTAGATTTATTTTCTCCTTAGGCGCTATCAGACGGCTGAGATCAATGGCAATGGATGGTTCAGATTCGTTTCTTCCTTAAGCACGATTAGACGGACGAGATCAATTGCGATGAATGGTCTAAATCGACCCATGATGGGTATAAATATTTTGAATTACACGAGAACCCAAACCTTAGCTTTCAGCCCCCACTAGAAAAGAAGAACCAGGCACCGGAGAAGGAGGCCGACTGTTGATCGTTGTTGCACCGAAGCGACTGTCGGTCGCCAAAAAGGTAAAAATTCCCCGTACCTGCTTGAAATTCGATTCCGAACATCCCTGTGACCAAATCAGAATAAAAGGGATGGCGGGTGAGACAGAAACTACGAGTAAAGTCTAGCAGAGCCGCCATGGCCAAAACTACAAAATTCCTCCGATGAGCTCCTTTTTGATTTCTCTTTCACGTGATTTTTCGATCATTGTGTTCACCATTTTTTTCTGTGCAGGTTAGCCAAAGAAGGAACCCCAGCTGCGATGGAGGATTTGTAACAGCCCCGGAAATTCATAATGAAATGTATATTAAAAATATCAAATGCGGAAGCGAAGTCAAAATTTGAATAACATCCCTTAC